GCACTAAGTAAAAAGATATTCCTTCGGGATCATTCACTCATCCAATTCAATCATGGCAGCTCTTCCTGATGCGCCTCTTCGGGCGGCAGCTGTGAACCCTCCAGATGTTGTGGTAACCCGGAGGCGTGAACTTCGCACCTCCGTGGAAGGTTTCACGCGTGGCCCGCGTCTCGCGGGGGCACGACACTGCGCCCCCTTCTTGACCATGGACTCTTTGAGAGCTCTGCAAGAGGACTTTCATGGAGACGCAGCTCCGCTTTACGTTCAAGGTGGTTGTGAACGCTCGCTTCTCCAGGCGAAAGATCGTGGATGGCGTGGAGCAGGACGAGATCGTCGAGATCAAGGTAGCCCTCCCGCCGATGCCCTGCATGCCTCTCGCTCGTCCTGATGAGAGGTTTCGCAGGTTCATCAGCGAAGCACAGACGAGGTACGAGCGCCAAGTGGAGGAGGTGGACAGAAATACGTCCAGCGGCTGGACCTTTGTGGGAATGCTGTGGATCAACCTCCTGAGCAGTCCTGGCGAGCTGACGGGCGACATCCCTTTGCCGGCCGGCGTGGCGGCTGGCGGCTGTTGGAAGGACTTGCCGGCTCACCTTCGCGCTGGTCGTCAGGGATTGTTCAACCCGCGGAACATGGATCACAGGTGCTTTGAGTTCTGCGTGACGGCCTGCTTCCACGAGGTCGGCAAGATGGACAATGTAGCTCGAAAGACCGCGGCCCGAACAGTAGGCGCGCCGTTCTACGACGAGCCCTCGCCTCCTGGTCGCAAGAGCTCTACCAGCGTGCCTCGCAAGATGGTGGTGGTGGAGGCTGACTTCAGCACGCTTCGGACTCAACGCAATCAAAGAAAAGACAAAGCCTCTCCTTCTTGCTACGGGGGAGATCTAGCAGTCATCCTCCGTCCGATGGCACGGGATTCGCCATCACCGATGAATATTGTGAGTTCACGTCAAACTTCGAGAGCCAGCTGATCGGCTCGTCCTCGTCAAACTTCTCCCCAGAGGCTAGCGCGTTGTTAGCCCTTGCGTATGGTTGAAAGGCATTGCTGAGACCTTCTCGGATGCTTGACTTCACGAGATCGTGGATCTTGCGCACCGTTATCAAACCAAGGGGATTGTCGGAAGGTGCGCACTGCTGAGCATGGCGTCCCAAGACGCGCTCGCGTGGGGCTCCAGTTGCTCGGATGGCAGTGGGAACCTCGGAACTGAGCAAGTATCAACTTGAGCTGGAGGGGTCTTGACAAAGCTTCCGGCAACAAGAAGCTGATGCCATTTCTGGGTCCGCATTGCAAAGAAGTGGTTCAGCTCCGCCTGCTGCGCCTCTACATGGAGCTGTTCCAGGCAAGGGTCGAGGAGGTCTACGCCGTCGTGGAGTTTCAGTGCAGACCCTTCATGAAGCCTTTCATCGAAGGTTTGTATCAAAGGCAGGCCCTGAAACGTGAGGGAGGAAGCTTCAATCCGAAGTGGTGAAACTGACCCAAAACGTGCTATATGGGAAGAGCGTTCAGAATCAAGAGCGCTTTGTCCGCTCCTTCGTTTGCTTCGACGTGGGCGAGTTCGGCCATCGAGCCGCCGGCCCGCGCATGGTGGACCTCCACGCCTACCCCACAGAGCACGGGAGCTTCTTTGGCATTCGAGGACAAGAACTACAAGCTAGGATTCGACAAATCGCGCCCCCACGGGCACTGGAGAAACCTGCCAGAGCCTCTGCCCGCCCTCTTCGACAAGCTTCTCCACGACAGCAGGAGCCCGAGAGGGAAGAGGTGGTGATGGGACAGAAGCTCATCGACAAGATCTGCAGCTTCCTGCGACCTGGAGGCTACGCAAAGATGGAGCTCAGGAATGATCGCTGGGTCGGACGACTTCAGGTCTTGACGCTTTTGCTTAGGTTTGTACAGAGTATGTTGGACAGGTTTTGACTTGCTAGAACGTACAAGGCACAGCGCCATCTAGCCACTGACAGTCTCATGGACAGTTTCTTGGACACCTCTGTGGACTCTAGAACCGAGCGAGAGCGGTTCCTGTGCAGCTACGGAGCAATAGGCCCCACTGCAAAAGGCCGCTCTGCAGCAGCTCTGGCAGCACGCATTTCTCTTGATTGTACTGGAAACCTTCGCTCCCTCTGCCCCTCCACCTTCCTTACATCCCTAGCTAGAAGAGGTCCACCCTGCCAACCCTCTAGCGCAAACAATATTCCATTATCTGTGTGTTCCACCTTTGCAACCATGTAGACCCTCTCGGACCAGGCCGTTTCAGTGACTCTGTAAGTTCCCCTGCTTTTTATAGGTTTCGCACGGACGCGGACTTCATCGCCTGCTTGGATCTCAGGTCTGGCAGGAGCATTGTGCTTTGCTTTCCTGCGCCTGTTTTCAAGCGCTCTGCGCGCCTTGTGAGGGTTGTTATAGGCTTCGTTGGGTGCAACTCCGATAGCAGCATGTGGTTTTTCATTATACTGAGCTAGGACGTCGGGCAGTAGGAGATGCCATTGATTCCTTCTTCCTACTCCAACGCTCAGCCTCCGAACCAAAGCTTTCTTTAGAGTCCGTATTGCTCTTTCTGCAACTACTGCGTGTCCTCTGCTAACTATCTTATCTACGTCCCAGTGATCTAGCTTAGTTTTGAACTCTCAGTGCCGTCGTCGCTGTAAACAGTGGCTGGAATTTCCAGGTCTCGGATGACCTTGTCACGCCACGGCCTGTGACCTTGCGACCTGGAACCTGAGGGCACTGCTGGCCAGAAGCTGCTGCCCCTGGACGTGGCTTCTGGCACATTGCACCTGCACTGCTCTCAGCATGAACCTGGTGAGCCTATATCTCACACCTGGGCACCGATCTGACCTCTCAACGCTTGCACTTTGAGAAAGTCTCAGTCGGCCCTACGACCTTACAAGCTGCACTTTAGAGCTCCGGCACCGAAACCCAAGCTTGTTTCAAAACTGCAGCTGGAGGACTCTTGCCCATAGACTATGCTGGTCCAAGACGGTTGCCTCTGCACTGGTTCTGACACGCGAACTCTTAATTGTCCAACAGAACTGCTGAAAGTAGATAAATTCAGCATTCTTACACTGGACAACTGCAATCTTAGGTGACGTGTATTCCATCTGGAAGGTTGCACCTCGTAATTTGGCACCTAAATGATCTGAGAAACCTCTGCACACATATTGGCCCTTCTGGCTGGAAGCGGCTGCCCTGGACAGCAACCTGTAACCTTCCTCTTTTGATCTATGGGCACTGGCCAGAGGCTGCTGCCCTGGCGCGCTGCACCCTTACCACTTCAGTCTCGACCTTGCCTGCATCTTAAGCTTTCACTTTGTCGAACCTGTGTAGCTAAAGCTTGTGAGATTGCAGAGCCAGCCGAATCAGCATCAATCTTGCAACTCTACATCTTAGAGACCTGTGCACCTACCTGACAGAGATCAGCCAAAGTTGGCAACTTAACAAAGCCGAGTTGGTCCTACGCCCTTCCAAATCTACCTGAAGCTGCAACTAGATCACACTTGACAAGCGAAAACAAGGACGGTTGTTCCTAACCATGACTCTGGTAAGCACTGCACCAAAGCTGGCACCTAGACACCTTCCAATCGGCCCTGCAACCTGGCAAACCTGCGCCTAGAACTCCTGCGCCGAAACCCAAGCTTTTTCAATTGCAACCCCAAGCCCATCTTCACTCCAGAACTGCAGCGCAGCACAGCTTCCTCTCGACAAAAGGGCCATGACCATGTACGCAAGGTACTTCAGCAGCTGACCCCAGTCTAGCTCCTGCAATGGACCACTTGGAGTACTCTTCAAGCCAAAGCTTGCCAGAGGATCTGACTCTCACATGTTAGTGGCGATAGATGCGTTCTCCAAGAAGCTCACTGCCCTCCCGCTGAAGGCGCCTTGAGCCTAATAATATAGAAAGGGGGCCCATGGGGTCACTTATCCGCGAGAGACTAAGAGCGCGTTTTCTAGGCTTTCTAGTTGCATTCTTAGTCTCTCGCGGTACTCTCTCAACATAAGCGCTACAAGCCTCCTAGAGCATTCTTAGCTCTCGCGGTACCCTCTCAACATAAGCGCTCTGCAAGCCTCCTAGAGCCTTAGTCGCGGTACGCCCTAGCGCTGCTCTAGCGCTCCTAGCGCTGCCCTAGCGCCCTAGTTCTGCTCTAGTGCTGCCCTAGTGCTGTCCGTGCCAAGCGCTCCTCAAGTGCCTCTCAAGTGCCCCTCAAGTGGCACGCTATTGGCCCACAATTGGTCCACAATTGGCCCACAATTGGCCCACAATCCGCACCGCCTAAGAATGCGTCCCTAGAGGCCCTGCCTGCATTCCTGCAAGCTGCTCCTCAAGCGGCCCCGCCGGCAAATCCGCCCAAAAACTGAAAATGTCAACCGCGGCCTGTGACGCAGTAAGTGGCGCCGCCGGTTCCATCTCTACCGCCGACCGCTGTAGAAAGGAGTTGTACCTTCTCGCGTGCGTCCTGACTCGCCGTTCACCGTTTCCGATGCCTGGACTGCCTACTCGACGCACAAAGCAGCGTCTGGAGCAGCTTGCATCCAACTGATCTGTGGCAGCAATTCGTGGAGGAGATGCGCACCTGCGATTACGTCGAGCGGTCCGAAGTGCCTTCAGCCGCCGAGGTCTTCGCAGGCTGGACCGCGGGCCGCTACGACGCCAGGCCCACCCGCAGCAGCATCAGCAGTGCGGCGGAGCATCAGCAGCAGCATCAGCAGCGGCGGGGCATCAGCCGCAGCATGAGCAGTGTGGCGGAGCATAAGCAGCAGCATCAGCAGAGCGGCGGAGCATCAGCAGCACGCCGGAGGAGCATCAGCAGCGCGACGGAGCATCAGCAGCAGCATCAGCAGTGCGGCGGAGCAGCAGTAGGGGCATCTGCAGAGTGGAGGAGCATCAGCAGCACGGCGGAAAAGAGCATCAGCAGCACGGCGGCGGGGAGCATCAGCAGCACGGCGGCGGGGAGCATAGGGGCCATCCCGACGGCTCCGGCGCAGAGCAAACGCAAGAGGGACCATGAGGAGCACGAGGAGTCAGCTGCCGCGGGAGTTGCAGCGGGAGCCAGCCGCAGGGGTCTCCGAGCATCTGGCGGGGAGGAGCACTTTCCGTTTCCGGAAGTATGTTCGCTATGCGTCTCGGCTGGAGCTGAATGCGCTGGAGGTAGATGTTGTGAACAGCTACTTTCAATTTTTTTGGTGAAACGGATCATCAAGGACGCTCCCGGCTTCCCCCTCATCCGTGATTGCGCGCAGCGCTGAGGTGCCTGGTTGGCCTTCCCCGCCAGCCCCGTCGTGAGGCTGGTGCTGAGGGCTGCGACGCTGGACTGGTTGGCTGCTATCCTTGGCGGCGGGCAGGTCGGCGGCCAGGGTGTAGGGAGTCAAATCCGGCAGGTCTGGCAGCCCGGCCACCTCGGCCTGCAGCGCCGCCACTGCGGCCGTGTTGGCGGCCACTCCGGCGGCGTTGGTCCCCAGGGCCGCAGTGTTTGCGGCCGTGTCGGTGAGCGGCGTGTACCCGTCAGCACGGTGGCCAGTTGGCCGGCGGTTATCCCTGTTATCTCCGTGGTGGCTCCGTCATTCAAGATGTTCCCGGTGATGGTGCTCTCGAACAGGCTCATCGTTTCCCTAGTCCAGGACGCTCACTCCGGCGCCTGTTTGATCGAGTTCTCGGAGCGGTTCGGGCCTGGCAGTTGGGGGGGCTTCTTCTCCAACTGGTGCTCCGATGAGTTGGGCGCGGTGTTGGATGGCGCGGACATCGAAGTGGCGGAGGACATGGCGAAGCTGGAGAAGGAGATGCGGCGCACGCATCGCCTATGCTGGGACTGGCTGCCCGCGGCTACCAAGGCCACGCCCACTTCGAGCGCAACTTCCTGGAGGTCTTGAGCGTGGCTGCCGAGGATGGGTTGATCTCCTTGGAGCACGACGGCATCTGCATCAAAGACCGCGTCGTGGAGGCGGCGACCTTGGAAGGTATCCTCGTGGCTGTCAAGCCGGCGCCGGACGCCTTTGAGTTCGCGGCCGTCGAGCACCCGGAGCTAGACTGGCAGCTGGTCTCGAATACATCCTACCAGAACTACCACGCCCTCCGCCAGCGCTGCAAGGAGCACGTGACTCGCGGTCGTGTCCGCCCCAACAACGGGGACTTTGCCGACCTGCTCGTGGCCATGCTGTCCCCGACCGTGTACGTCCCGACCCAGGTGCATGAGAGGGCCGACACCTACGAGCTCTTTGGGACGAATGGGGTTTGGGTCGAGTGCAAGCGAGATCACATGGGGTAAGGAGGTTTTATGGGGACAAGGCAACACCACCGGAGCCGCTGAATGACTTGGGCTTCGCCAACTCCCTGTGCTCGGCCGTCATCGGTGGTCTGAGCGGGCGTGTCTTCAAGCCCCTGAACGGCGACCACAGCCGTGCCAAGATGCTTTTCTCCGATGGCTTCATCGTGGATTTTGAAACCGGGCAACGCAGGCGGGCCCTGCCGAGTGATCCCATGAGCTTCAAGGCCGCGGCGACTTCCAAAACCTGGGTCCCTCCCGTGGAGCACCGCTTCTTCCACCACGCGCTGGCCTTTCTGGAGACTCGCTGCTCCTCATTGGCGGATAAGGGTCGCCTAGTCTTGAAGGACCTGGAGGAGCTCGAGACGCACAGTCGGTGGCTGAGGATGCTGAAAAGGTACGGGTCGTGGGAGCAGGTTCTATATCTGCTCCGGCTCTTCACCAGGGCCGTGACCGGCTATCCTCGCATCTGCGAGCTGCTTTGGCTGTATGGCTGCGGCAGCAGCGGGAAAGACGTGATCTTTCTCCCTTTGCTGGAGTTCCTCGGACACGAGTGCTTCAACTACGGGGCCATTCTCCCGGGGCGCTTCGTGACGGCCTGCAAGAGCGCCGATGCCAACTCGGCAACACCCTTCCAAGATCAGCTGCAGGGCAAGAGAGGGGTGTGGGTCTCGGAAGTACCTTGCCACGACAACTTGAATGAAGATTTTCTCAAAGGCTATTGCGAACAAGAAGGCTCCCCGGTATCTGGCAGGGCCTTGAACAGAGGGCCTCGCTCCTGGAGGCCACAGGGCCTGCTATTCTGCACTTCCAACCACGCACCCCGCGTACTTCATGCAGAAGATGATGGGTGGACGCGGAGAGCCCGGGTATGGGAGACAAAGGTCCGGTTCGTGGCGAATCCGTCGGGTCCGGCAGAAAGGTTGGCTGAGGACGGCCTGAAGCGGTGCATCCAGGCCGGCGAGTTCGACTCGGAGATCCTCTACTTCGCAAAGGGCTTGTATGCCAGCTTGAAGGAGCGCTACAACCCGGGCACTATGCTCATTCCGATGCCCCAAGAGATGACCGAGCTTCAGGCTGAGCTGCGCGAGTCCTACCCGCAGCGGACGGCGACTGACTTTGCGAATCAGGAGTGCGAGGTTGTGGACAAGTACCAGGAAGGCACCCCCTGGCCGATCTTCAAGCAAGCGTGTGCTGAGTTCAACGGCTACTCGCTTCGGGAGTCCTACAGGACCGGCATGGCTCTTACTCGGGCCAACATCGTCAGTCACCCCGCCAAGACCAAGAATGTCGCGGTGGGCCCGCCTGGAATACTTCGTCTGAAGCCGACGAACCCCACGGCTTGGCGTAGAGCGAACACCGCTCAGAGCTCCAGCTAGCGCTGCTAGTACAGGCACCGTTTTTTGCTTCCAGCCGGTTTGTCGCTAATCAGACACAACTTTAGGTCTTGACAGCACATGCTCTCGGCATACATAGACCATGCATGTTTTTTTGTTGACAGTACAGCGGCTTCTCGGCAAGCACAGGGGGTCGCCCATGACCCACACCGTTTTTGCTTGTGGCTGTTGTGTCGCTAATCAGACGCAGCTTTGTGCCATGACAACACATGCTCTCAGCATAGACAATGCATGTGTTTTTACAGTACAGTGGCTTCTCTGCAGTGCACAGTAGAGAGCTCTCCATCTAGGAGAGGCATTACAGCGCAGACTGGGCGATCGGGAGACGCAGTAGTGGTGAACATGAAGAATGTAGCTGTAGCCAAAGCCCTAGGCCCCGAGACCTCGACCCTAATGCCTCCGAGCAATCCCGCAGTCTGCCCAGATGAACAGTTTCGTGCATCCTGCTGTGAATTGTTGCTTCGGCCTGCCATTCGTATAGCACCTGCACGCGCTAGCACACCAGGCAAAAAGGTCTTTGCTGAGGTTTCACGTTGCATGCTGTGTGTTTGCAAGTGAAGCTGTGTCGGAGGCCTGCCATTCGTATAGCACCAAGGTTCACGTTGCATGCTGTGTATTTGCAAGTGAAGCTGTGTCGGAGGCCTGCCATTCGTATAGCGCCGGCACGCCGTAGCGCACCAGGCACGAAAATGTCGTTGCTGAGGTTCTCGTTGCATGCTGTGTGTTGCAAGTGAAGCTGTGTCGGAGCGTGTTAGGGTTCAGGGGTATACCGGCTATAGGAGTTTTTGTTTT